GCTGGGTTTCCCAAACCAAGACAAAGGATATCGACTCCAGCAAGAGGAACTGGGGAGCATGGAAGTTGGTTTAAAGCATCAGCAAGCTGAGCAAGAAGACCAGAGATAAAAATAGGACCTAAATGTGCAGCGACAGTGGTTTTGTTGTTTTTGCATAGTGCAAGATGAGTTTCGGCGAGCTGGGCAACAAGGTAGGCTCTGCAGGCTTGAAACTTTCTCAACAGGAGACTCCATTCGTCGTCGTCGACCAGGTCATTAAGGCCCGTTGGTGGACGCTGTCCGTCAGATCTATGACCGACTGAGCAACGGTAAATGCGAGGACAGTCATAAATTGATTCTAATGTAATATCTCCCCCCTTGATCCTTTGAAGTCGGCGCCGTCGGCCATGCCGGGCAGGCATGACGCGATACCAAGCAAACTCATGTGATTCAACATGGCCCATATCAGAGTCTTTGCAATGCTCGCTCTCGTCTAGCGCTCCCGAATTAGAAGAGCAAGAAAAGCAGTCGGGCTGAGACAACTGACGAGAGAGTAGCTGTGCCGGTGCTTTGGGATTTAGTTGAGAATGCTCGCCTAAATCTAAGGCACTCGTCTTACCAATGACAGTAGAAAGTGGCGGTATCGAAGTGGCCATATCGGGCGGAATTCAAAGCGAAAGTCTAAAAACATACAGCAAAAAATAAACTAAATGGCTGTGACATTATGCGTTAAAACAAATTTAAATAGTGATTCGCCACCATCACCACAGCAGAAGCTATGACTACTATTAATAAACATTGACTCAGTTGATCTGGGTGATATAAGTGTAATTAACGCCAAAAATGTAAATTAAAACCAAATTACAAAGTATATACAAAGACCAGGATGTTGTGGCCTCTAATTTGGTCGCAATCTCTTTTCGATATATATTAGTCATTTGACATTGTTTTCGCAACTTCGTCATATTGGCAGGAAGACATATTGCTTAATCAAATACGGAGAAAACAAGGATACAACAGGACAAGCAAAAAGGAGACGTG